AAAAAAAAAACATTTATACAAGCGTAGACGTTAACATTTACATTTACTTGCACATATGAATCTACTCACATAAACGTATATATATTTATATATGTGGAAACGAAGGTGAGGAATGCTTTTTTCTTTTTTTGTTTTGGTTCATTGATTTTCGGTTTTTTTTTTTTCTTTTCGTTGTACGCAAAATATGTTTACTCTACATTATTCTTTCAAAGGGACTTTGTGTATTATTATTATTATTATTATTATTATTATTATTTATTTATTTATTTATTTATTTATTTATTCCTTTCTCTATCTTTAATAAAGTACGACAATATTAAGAACGGAATATTAAAAAAAAAAAAAAGGAAAAGAATATTATCATATATATATATATTCATTTATCTGTGTTTAGAGACAGAAGAACAAAAAAAAAAGAAAATAGTTCAAACACATCATATCATATCATTATCATTATTATTATTATTTAATAAATGATCCGGCGTTTACTTCAGTTGTCTGTGTACAGGCGTACACCACTACGCCTCTCATCTTCCACGGCGGCTGCAGATGCCGCAGGTCTTGGGATCTCCTTTGAGTTATCTCCACAGCAGAGGGAAATTAAGGAACTTGCCCATCGCTTTGCAAAAGAGAAAATCATTCCCGTGGCTGCCCAATACGATAGATCCATGGAATATCCATATGATGTCTTTAAGGAGGGATGGGAATTGGGTCTTATTAACATGCATATTCCACAAGAGTATGGAGGAATGGGGGCCAGCTGCTTTGAAGGATTACTTGTACATGAAGAATTATCATGGGGTTGTTCTGGTATCTCTACTGCATTTGAGGCCAACAGTTTAAGTCAGGCTCCTGTTATTATTGCCGGTAATGATGCCCAGAAAAAGGAATTCCTCACACGCATGACGGAGGAACCATTAATCTCTGCCTACTGCGTTACGGAACCAGGCGCCGGTTCAGATGTGGCTGCGATAAAAACATTCGCTACCAAGAAGGGAGATGCATGGGAAGTGAATGGACAAAAGATGTGGATTACAAATGGAGGTGTGGCCAATTGGTATTTTCTCCTCGCCAACTCACCCGATGGATTTGTGGGATTTGTGGTAGATGCCAACACACCGGGTATTAAGCCTGGGAAGAAGGAAATTAATATGGGTCAACGCTGCAGTGATACGCGTGGGATTCTCTTTGAAAACGTGGTGATTCCCGATAAGAATGTACTTGGATCTCCCGGTGATGGATTTAAAATTGCCATGCGGGCCTTTGACTTCACTCGACCGCCTGTGGCGATTGGCGCCGTTGGTGTGGCTCGACGGGCATTGGAAGAAGCCTGTGCCTACGCCAAACAACGCAAAACGATGGGAAAGTATATCTCTCAACATCAATCGGTGGCTTTCATGTTAGCAGACATGGCCGCCTCTATTGAGGCTGTGCGGCTGTTGGCGTATCGCGCCGCGTGGGAAGTGGATCAGGGACGATCGAATACATTTTACGCCTCATCCGCAAAATTGTTGGGGGCGGAAGTGTGTGAACGGTGTGTGACGAATGCGGTGCAGATATTTGGTGGGAATGGATATAATACGGGTTATCCAGTGGAGAAGCTTTACCGAGATGCGAAGATATTTTCTATTTATGAGGGAACTAGTCAGGTACAACGTCTGGTGATCAGCAGATTGTTGCTGGGGAAAGAGTAAACTGGTCATTTTTTTTTTTGTGTTCTTTTTATTACTATTATTATTATTATTATTATTATTCTGTTTACGTTTGTAAAACAAAAAAAAAAAAACCCACCCCCCGTTTCCCGATGATGTGATTAAAAAAAAAAATAATAATTACAAAGGGATCGACAGGAATATTGTCGTTGGGTGATAATTTACAAATTGTACGCAGTCAGTAAAATGAAATGACATTCAGAGAATTCTCTATAATCGAAACCAAAAAAAAAAAAAAAAAAAAAAAAAAAAAAAAAAAAAAAAAAAAAAAGAACCACAGTAATTTCAACGGCAAGCCATCAATGAAATCATTGATGGCAATGGGTATTTGTTATTATGTGAGCGATTATCTGTTTTTTTTTTTTTTATTTTCTCTCTTTCTTTTTACTTTGGATTTCCGTTGAATTCACTTATTTGCCTTTTTTTTCTTAGTTTTCTCCCCTTTACCAGTCCTCAAGTAATAGTTGGCAATGTAATGGCATGTGAGGGATACAAGTTAAAGTTTGATTTATATTTATTTATTTTATTTATTTATTTGGTGCATTTTGTTTTGAAGTATTTGAGGATAGAAGAAAAAAAAAAAAAAAAAACTTCATCCTGTCAATGTATTCATTTTTTTTTTTCTTTTCTTCTTTTTTTTTTGCTTATTTGGATAGTGATAGCATATTTTTTGTGTATAGAATAAAAATGGATCACGATAAGGAAAAAAACGAAAATAAGGAAGTTTTAATTGAAACACCTACAGAACAGAAGGAGGGAATAAGTCCTTCCGACACTCCAGCCGAGTCTATCCAACTGAATGTTTCTCTTCCTCCTGTGAATATCTCTTCTTCTTCCCCTAATGAAGATGAACGGCTGTGGGAATTGGTGGACCCTCCAGAGACTTCATTGGATGTGGTGAAGAGTACTCGCCAAGAAATTCAACGGGTGTTAAGTATATTATCCAATCATGAGCGTTTACAAGAGATAAACACAAAGAAACAGGATGGATTATCTCAAAGCCAAATTATTCTGGAATTACAATTGGTGGAGCTGAATGGGAAACTGCAGAAGGAGGTGGAGCAACTTAAAGGAGACTTGGAAATACAAATAAAGGAGAGAAAACATAACCAGGAAGCCTTTGAGAAACGTCAACATGAATTGGAGTCAAGTGTGAAGAAACTAAAGAAAAAGTTGGAAACAGAAGTCGCCCAACGCAAAGTGGATCAAGAAACTCATAAGCGACAGGAGAATAAACTCGAGTCTCAGATAAATGATCTCAAGAAGGAGTTGGATGCGGAATCTTTACAACGCAAAACGGCTGAGGAGGCGTTGGAGAATCTCCGCAAGGATTTGGAAGCGCAAATGAGAGAACTTAATAAAAAGTTTGATGCCCAACCAATTATAAGGTTTTGAGAGAGGAAAAAATTGATCTACAATTCTTTCTCTAAAAAAAAAGAAAAGAAACAAAAAAAAAAAAAGAAAGTAGTGTAATAGAAGGTGATAAGGTTTTGTATGAGATCTCTCTTTGTGTACATATGTGAAATAAAGAGAGAGAAAAAAAAAAAAAAAAAAAAGGTAGATATGACACCTCTGTCAATCCGCTGAGCGAAAAGAAAAAAAATAACCTCATGAAATATTTATCTTTTTTTGGGGGGAAAAAATAAATCAACATAATGACACACTGTGGACCATCAAGAATCAACCAAAAGAACTGAAAAAAAAGAAGAGGATTTTCTTTGAAATCTCATTTAATTGATCTGTTATTTTAGATTAAAAGTATAATGAATGACTGTGAGAGAGGGGGTTTTTAAGCAATTCAAAGAGAAAAAAAAATAAACTCGACGCGTATGGTTAATGGTTCAACAGAGAGCTTGATGCCCAAATAAATCAAAAAAAAAAATGAAAATAAAAAAAAAACGACAAAAGGGGGAAAACCTCTGACAATAAACAAAAGAGGCTGGGGTGAAGGGGACGATGCTTATAATGGAAAAAAAAAAACAAAAAAATATATACAGATATATACAAATATATGAAAAAGAAAAATAGTGTCAAATGGGAAGTAAACAACTGCAGCTACTGAGCGAGTACCGAACCCCTCCACTCCATCTCATCCCATCCCCACATACACAAACACACCCTTTCTTTCTTTTTTTTTTTTTTAGGGTTTATTGTTTTTTCTTTTCTTTTTTTCCTTTTTCCTTTTTTTTTTCTTTTCCCATTACCAGTCAGTTACTTTGGTATGGGCGACTCATGTACTTTCAATAGGATCGGTCCTACAATGTTAGTCATTTAAACCGTCCTTCTTGTTTTTTTTTTTGTTTTTTTTATCTCAGTGAGTCGTGAGTTTTTAGTCTACTGTGGACAGTATTATTCACTCCCATATATTTTTTTCTGCTGAATTACTAAAAGCTTTTTGTGCCTATTGGTTTTTTCTTTAATATGTGTACTCTACGGATTGTTATTATTATTCTTTTTTTTATTTCTTTTTTTCTCTTTTTCTTGTAAGAACCGGAATAGGCTGGACAACCAAGTAGTAGTAGTACCATTACCACTCCGAAGAAAGAGAAGAAAAAAAAAAAAAGAAAAAACATAAAGAAATTAGAGCAAGTCAATAAGTTGTTGTAGGTTTACTTTTTATTTTTATTATTATTATTATTATTATTATTTTCTTTTCGTTCGTGTTATTTAAAAAAAAGGAAAAAAAAAGGTATTTCTTTTTTTTTTTTTTTTTACTTTTTCAAAATTATTTACCACTGTATGCTTTCTGTCTGAAGGTTTATGGGAAACCTCTCCTCCACCTCCTGCTGTTACTGTGATTGCTGTGCAGATGATAGGAAGAAGAAGAAGACAAGAGGCCGTGCACTTTCCACACTTCCCCCTCGCCGTCGGTTATTAGCCCTCTTATCTCTTTACGCCCCACACCGATTAAAAGATACGGATGATATTCTGCGAGAGTTTAATGGCGATGGCAATCGGGCGGTGTTGTATTATAGTTCTTTACTCGGCCCAGAGCCAAAGCCGCAGGAGGCGGAATTAATGTACGCGACGAGACTCACAGAAGATGATGTTTGGCTGCGGAAACGTGTATATGAAATATTAATGAGATGTGATCCCACACGGGTGTTGGAGTTGGAATCTATTGTGCGAGGACACAAAGGGACGGCATCCGAGTTACTACAACAATTAGAGATCTACTATAAAGATAGGGATTCTAATAATAATATTAATAATAATATACAAAAAGGAGGACGTGAGGGATCTAATAATCAAGATACCTTAGGTTCTGTTTCTAATACAGATGTTCATTCCTCAAAAGATGGAAAAGAATTATCTGAGGAAAAACAACAAAAGAATAAAAATAATATGCAGTTAGTAGTTACTACCCCCACAAGGGAAATATTATCTCCACCATTACCACTTCAAAGTAGTGAGTGGTCCCCAAGAGATGAGTCACCTCTTGGTGTTTCTGACGATTTACCTATTTCTCCATCTCATATAAATATCTTTACAGGAGGAAATCTTAAGAAGAAACGAGATGAGGATGAACATATTCTGAGGGAATTCGAGTCTATGCTTGCACAGATGCGTGAAGCAGAGGTGGCGATTCTTTTACCATATCGACCTAAAGTAGTTCATGTTGAAAATGAAACATATTCTGCAAACACACTCATATAAACAAGAGGAGATAAAAGAAGAAAAACAAACGATGAAAAACAAAAAAAAAAAGACTTATAAAAAGTGGTATATATATATATATATATATAGATATGAGATTTCTTTTGTATTATTTAATTATATTATTATTTTTTTTTTGTATTTGTTATGTTTCCAGTATTATTTTTTTTTGATGCGAATGAGAAAGGGGAAAGAGGATAAGGGGTGGTGTTAGTGTTTTTCTTGTTGTTGTTGTTTTTCTTTTTTCGTCAATTTCCTTATATTCTCTTTCGAATTTTTTTCTTTTTTTTTTTGTTTTCATAGTTACCACGTTAAAATAGTTAACGAAGTGAAAAAAGAAAAACTTGACAAAAAGAAAAACAAAAAAAAAGAACAAAAAAAAGGAAGCTGTATTTCAGTAGAGAAGAAGAGGGTGTTTGCCTCTAGTAAAGTAAATTTATTTTTATTTTTGCAATTCTGTTTTGTTTTTATTATTTATTTTGTTTCTTCCTGGAATGCATGAGATATGCGTTCAGATCCCCTTATCACTTCGCCAAAAGAGCGAGAGAGTGAATCAGATGTTAACAGCAACAGAAGCCGAAGTAAGAGAAGAGTGAGAAGCGGTAGTGTTAATAGTAATACATCCACATCTTCTCGTGGTTCTCGATCTAGTTTATTACGTACTAGTACTAGTAACAACAACAGCAGAAGCAGAAGCAGAAGCAGCAGCAGTAATAGTAGTAATAGTAGTAAGAAATCTTCATCGAAGAAAAACAATAGCAACAGTAAGAAATATGATGATCATATTCCTGTATTTCCAAACCTGCAGTTACCAACGAATATTCTCTTGGAGCCGTTTCCAAATAGACGTGTACGTTCCATGTGCTCTGTGGGTGGATTACTCGTAACAGCACATCGTAATGGTATACGTATATATCGCCAACGGTACCTTTCATCTGCCGCGGTAGCAGCGATAGCAAATAGTCGAGTTAATCTTCGAAAAGGTATTGGTGATAATAATAATAATAATAATAATAATAATAATAATAATAATAAGAATTCTGCTAATGATCAAGTGGATGTGCGAACGGGAATTTGGGAAGCCGTAGAGTTTAGAGATAATTTTCATCTGCAAGATGCGTATATGTGTGTTGGTGCCGAATCTATTTTTAGTCGTGGACGTGTGTTACCACTAAAGTGGAATCGCTACTTTGCAGCCGCATGCGGGAGTGATCGCACACGATTTAGTGTATGTGTGATGAGTGTAGCCGCCCACTTTGTTCTCCATCATGAACTCCACGCGAAGAATAAAGTCGTTGCACTTCACTTTGCACTTGTTGCGATGGAAGCGAAAGTAGATAGTAGACGATATCAACCTTTTGTTGTGAGTGTGGATGAAGTTGGTGAAGTTGTGATATTTGATGTGGAACGTGATCGTGCTGTTAAACTGACTCTCGCTTCTGCTTTGACTGCGGCTCCATATTCCTTATCTAATTCCCTTAATGGAGAGACTATGAAGAGAAATAATGGTCCTCTTGGATTATCCGATACTATTCCTACCAATAAGGATGTGAAGAAGAAAAATGAAAAAAATAATATGAATACTACTACTTCTACTTCTACTACTTCTACTACTACTACTACTACTACTACTACTATGAATGGAACTCATCCATCGCCTGGATCTGAATCTATTGAGAGTAAAACTACTACTAGTACTACTACAAATAATAGTAGTAGTAATAATAATAATAATACTTCTACTGTAATGCCAGCCTTATATCGTCTCGAGACGGGTCTTGCCTCTAATGTATGTCTTGTTGGTCCTTGTCAGGTGTTGTGTCGATATTGCGATAATGCCTCTCTGGGTATTGGTGTAGGTGTAGGCGTTACGCATCCACTCTCATTAAGTCTCTTTATTGCCTCTCACGCCCACAGTTTCGGTGGATCCACGGCGGAATTACATGTTACGCAATTACGTGTACAATACACCGCCGTTCCCCCACGAGCCGTTGTGCATGGATCGATTCCTATTGTCCGTGAAGGTGTACCGGAGTCCTTGTGTGAACCCGGTGTGGCTCTACTGCGATTGCCATTCCATACACGTGAACGTCCACCAACAATTCTTCTCGCCCGACCGCGTTTGCGTTTCTGGAGTCTTAGTGGGTGTTCCGGTAAACTCCTGCAATTACATCGTGTGTATGATGATACCGATGGAAGTGGAATGGGCGCACGTACACCGCGAGAACACTTTGTGCAAGTTGTACCATTAGGGCGGCATATACTACAGCAAGATCATACGACTTCTTGGCTGTGTATTGCCGCACTTACAGATGATGATGCTATTTTACTTCTTGGACAACAACCACGGCCCGTGGGAAGTGAAAAGATAAAGGAAGTAACACCAGAAGAACCTTCTCTGGAGGCTCCTATACTTGAACGACAGACATTAGAGGCATGGTTAGGTGATGTAGAGGAATCGGAAAAGAAGAAGATAACACCAAAAACACCAATAACACTACCTCCACCCTTATCATGTTCAGAAGAAGTAAAAGAGGGAGAAGAACATCCAACAGAGAATAGTGGAATGGAGGGTGAGAGTAGTACGACGGTATTGGTACCAGTTTCACCTCCATTGACCTTTATGGATCCCAAAGAGGATTACACGGTTCTTATGCTCTTAACTCCATCATGCAAAGATGATATATTATCAAGCTCAACAACAGCAACATCAACATTATCATCATCACCACTAGCATCACCAACGGCATCACCAACAACATCAACAGAAACCTCTCCTTTAATTCCTTATCAGAAGCGTAGTTTCATACGTCAATTAATTTCAGTACCACAAAGTAATGAATTGCTTTTTTCATGTGATGGCTCTGATGAGATATATTCTATTAAATTACCTTTTGTATGGGATGTGGGGCCTGTTGAAACAACGACTAATCGAACACCTATACCAATTCCACAGAGTGAACCAACAAACAATCGGGATAGTTGGCGAAGTGTTAGTCTTGCTGCGGGATATTTACGTGATTTAAATATTGCACGTCCATTAATGGTTGCGATGTGGAATTTTACAGGAGAAGTGGAGCCTGATGAAGAGTCACTCCCACCAGTAGTAGTTCAACCACAACGAGAAAATCAGAATCCTCATGAAAAGGAACAGGAAAAACAACAGATATCATTAATGGAAGCAGTAGAAGTGACAAGTGAGAAAACAACAAGTTCAATATTACCTTTACGTAGTGCTGTACCAGTTCATATTGAAGATATTAATAAAGGTGATGGGAATAATGGTATAGAAGTAGGACGTAGTAGCTCTCCTGGTATTCAAATAGGAAGAAAGAAGAAACGCCGAAATCGCTCAAGCTCTGTTGTAAGTGTTGAGGAAGGAATAACAAATGTGGATGATGAGGATGATGATACTATACGAAGGGCTTACGTGGAAAGTGAGCAACAAAAATTTTTGGATACTCCTAATTGGCAGAAAAGAGAAAACAATGATAATTGCGAGACTTCAAGTAATAATAATAATAATAATAATAATAATAATAATAATAATAATAATAATAATAATAATAATAATAAT